TTAATTAACATATTTTTTTAAACAAATGTCATCAGCATGGAAACATGTCCTCTGGAATGGTAGCCAAAGCATGAAGAGGCACATAAATGTTTAGCATATATGGCACGTAAATACCTTGCAATGCTGGCTACAAAAGTCCTATGTGAACGCCTGTTCTCACTTTCTGGTGACACTGTTAATAAGAAGTGGGCAGCATTATCTCTTAGCGATTGGCTGAACGAGAAGTAGGACTGAGTGGACTTGCAGGCTCTAAAGTTTTGCACTGTTTTTGAGTGCAGTTATGTAACAAAAAAAATCCACATTTGTAGGTTGCACTTTCACAATAAAGAGATTGCACTACAGTACTTGTATGAGGTGAACTGAAAAATAGTTTCTTTTGTTTATAATTTTTACAGTGCAAATATTTGTAATAAAACATAATAATATAAAACGAACAGTGTACACTTTGCATTGTATGTTGTAATTGAAATCAATATACTTGAAAATGTAGAAAAACATCCAAAAAGTTTAATAAATTTCAATGGGTATTTTATTGTTTAACAGCGCAATTAAAACTGCGATTTATTTTTGAGTTAATAGCGTGAGTTAACTGCGATTAATCGACAGCCCTAAAATTTATTAATCTGTATGGTTTTATATTATATTCTTCATTAACTCAGTAGAAAAAGAACTGTACAAAAGTTGGTTTGCAATTGGTTTGCATGAACAATTTTCCCACTAGAAGTCAGAATGGATGGCTTAGTTCTCTAAACCAGTGGTTCTCAACCAGAGGTCCAGCCCCCCCTGGGGGCTGCAAGCAGGTTTCAAGGGGTCCACTAAGCAAGGCCAACATTAGACTTGCTGAGCCCTGCCGCCCGAGGCTGAAGCTGAAGCCTCAGCAATTTAGCTTCGTGGGATCCCTTGTGGTGTGGGGCCCTGGGCAATTTTCTGCTTGCTTCCCCCTTAATGCTTGTCCTGGATTTTATATGCAGAAAAACAGTTGTCACATAGCTGGGACATGGAGTTTTTATAGCATGTTGGGGGAGGCCTCAGAAAGAAAAAGGTTGAGAACCCCTGCTCTAAACACCAGAGGACCAGCTCATACTTCCCATTAAACTAGTGGGAGTTCATTAATTGACATCACTGGAAAAATGCTCCAGCTTCAAAGTAATTAGATTCCTTGGTACCACAGGTTGAAAGTAGAATAGGGCTGACTAGCCCTTTCACCGTTCTTAGGAAGATCAAGTCCCATGCAGTTTGTCATATGTAGGCATTTCAGAGGGGTCTTTAACGACTGACGTCCTGTCTGCTCTGTTTGTTTGTACCTTAACGATCCTTTGGCCCTTTTTAAAAAAATTATTTTGAGTAGGCATTTCTTCAGGAGTCCACTTACATCCACTGTTGTGTAGACAGAATTGCTTGCCTCCAGCACCAAAGATGGCTGCATTTCAGTGGCTGCATTTCAGTGGTTTGCACTTGCAAAGTACCTTCATTCAAAATGAAAGATACTATGTAAACTCTAAAATAATACTTGATTTATAAAGAAGGAACCTTCATTTTAAACTCTTTAAAATACAAGTTTCGTTTGCAAACCAGGGTATACATAGTAGATAACCACAGCATGCAGGAATGTATCCTTAGAACATCACAAATAAAAAGAGCATTAAACTGTGTTAAAATAAGAGACAACGTGAAAGAAAGGACTGTCAGTGCCGTAGCACAGAAGTACCATGGTTTCTTGGATTGCTTATAACCTGCAGTGGTATGCTCTTGTTGGGGTTTTTTTATTTATTTGCTTTTTAACTTAATGAATGATTACAGGCATTTGGCAGTAGCGTAAGTGGAAATGCAATTTGTTCATGTAAGCAGAGAGAATAACAATGTAAAGCATACATGAATTGTCAAGACATCTATTACTGCTGCCATCTTTTACAGAAGAGCTTTCTAGCTCCCTTTTAAAAAAATCTTATGCAAGAGCTAGGCCATCTTTTTTTGGTACCACATCACTGCAGAGTTATGCACCTATATATTATGTGAAGAAAGAGTGCTGAGCATGTGGCTTTTAAATATTGCTCTCAAAAGAAATACATGAATGACCAGGCATTTGTGGAAGATAAATAAAGACAACAGGGGAAAACATGCCCACTAAAGCACATCACTATCCTCAATCTATTTTGTTACCAGTGCAGCTTCTGTTATTGTAGGTGAGGGGAGACACACAATTAGATCAGACTGAACTGTTGTTGAATTAATATCTTTCATGTATACAGCACTCTTCATCCAGAAGGATCCCAAAATACTTTACAAATTTAAAAGTTGATTCACAGAGACAATCACCGCTAAATACTGGTCATCAGTGCACAGCAACACTACACAACAGTTTTGGACAGCCAGGGAAGAAGAATATAATCTTACTGCCATTTCTATGGGGATCTTAGGTTAGCTGAATGCACTTACCCAAACTGAATTTGGCCAGAACATCAGGACTAATTCCTGCCATGTGATCTATATGGTCCAAGCAGCCAGGACCTCAGTTCTGGGTCCCATCCGGAAGAAAGAACCTCCAGTAGCAAGGTAATACACTTCCTAGTATCACATTAACTCACAGGGACGCAGACCATCGACCAAATCACAGTTCTGAGTCAGACTGAGTCGGGCTGAATTTTCTGGCCAGTCACAGATGGAAGTAGGCATTACTCACACTCATGACTATCTGGGCATCCAACAGCAGTGAAGTTTCCAAAAGAACCTCACGATTGTGAGCTAATTTAATAATCTGAGGGCAGATGCAATCAATGGAAAAGGATGTTACACAGAAGAGACAGGCTCCAGAACTTATTTGTCTTTGAAGAAGGTGTCAACCAAAATATCAGGTTTCAGAGTAGCAGCCGTGTCAGTCTGTATTCGCAAAAGAAAAGGAGTACTTGTGGCACCTTAGAGACTAGCCAATTTATTTGAGCATAAGCTTTCGTGAGCTACAGCTGCTGTAGCTCACGAAAGCTTATGCTCAAATAAATTGGCTAGTCTCTAAGGTGCCACAAGTACTCCTTTTCTTTTAACCAAAATATCAGACACTCCAGGACAATTTTTGTTTCTACACAGACAAATATGCCACCATGAGATTTATCTTACTGAACAAAATGCTCAGTGTTCCTGTACAGGAGATTTGCACTGTGTTCTTTAACTCTGCGGATCACAGATTCAGGCAAGAGACATGGCACTTTACTTATACACTGTGCTTTTACTTTTAAAACTGGATCTTCCCTACTGAGGAGCTAGCATTTTGGTTTAATTCAAATTTTAATCAGACTGGTTTAGTTGCTTGGTTGCGATGAGAGGAACATGTTTGAATATATTAAACAATTTTCTAGAAAAACATGTTTGGAAAAATAATAAGAAAAATTAAAATTTTTAAATTTAAAAATTTAAATGCTTTTAAATTTAAATGCTTTAAGTTTTAAAATTAAAACTTAAAATTCTGAATGAAAGAGAGTGAAAAGCTAGTCTTTCTTCCTCTTATCTCTTTGCTCCACCTCTGCTTTCTTGCACGTTTTCGTCACCAGACAGTGACACCCAGTTTAACTCACTCAAACCACAAAACCTCTTTTCAATAGAAGTCCAACACAAAAGTACAGAAGATGGTGTCTTTGCAAGTCACTAATCAAGTCTCCTGAACTGCAGAGGAACACAACCTTACCCAGCACTGGGATTTAAGGGGCAGTTAACAGTACTTTCCTCGAGGTTAGAAAGCTATAAAAGTAGTCTAAGTGGAAACAAAAATCTCTTCCTTCCTAAACAAACCAACGTGCTTTTATTTAAATTACTTTCAGAAAGAGGGACAAAGACATTTTGTGATATTCCATTAGAGGGCATCATAGCATGTCATTTTGCGGTTGCAGGCTTCCTTTCCCTAGATTGCAACAACCACATTTATTCTCTGCAATATGCCCAAAGTTACCTGATCATCTTTATACATTGAATATTCACCAGCTTCAAGATTTCACACACCTAATAAATGTATTTAGTGGTTTAGTGTATTTGTTTTGGTTACTCTTACATTTGTTTTTTAACCCATGCAGCTTCTTCAATGTCACAATAGGTCAGGTTTCAGCTTTATTCCCCCTGTGCACGCAGGTAATAAACTGAACACATAATACAGTGCCAGCAACTTGACTTCAAACTGTAGAACAGTTGAAGATACTTTTTAAAAAAAGAAAAAGTTAGGGTAATAATACAAGATCAGCAATTTGCATCTTTTATCCTGTAACTGGATCCATGTGGGAGGATCCTTATGCCAGTGAGAACTACTGAAGTCAATGGCACTGCCTACAGATATGAGGGTACATCTGTGTGAAAAAACACCCCCCTGAGCAATGCAAGTTTCAGTGCTGTAAAGTGGCAGTGTAGACAGTGCACCAGCGCTGGTAGCTATTCCCCTCGTGGTGCCACGACTACGCAGCCATGTTGGTAGTGAAGACATACCCTAAGTTCTAGTATGTAATGTTGCCATGACATAATGAAACACCACTTCCAAGTGCACATTTCATGCGTAGCACCTGCTCCCAGTGAACACTTCTAATAGGCATAGTGCTTACTACCATCAGTCCCTCTAGTATCAGTATGACTACTCGCGGTAGTAAGAACTACGCCCAGTAGCAACTGTTTGCAAGATTGAGCTCTAACACATAGTAGGGCCATATTCTACCCATATGCCATGCTCGTTATGCCAACTGAAGTCCATGGGACTTCTGTGAGAACACTAAGCATATCATGCGGTCCAAAGCATTTATAAAAGAAAATAATGTTGAAAATTAAAATAGTCTGGTGTAAGAAATAGGAATCAGTACCATACTGGAAAAATGTACCCATGGAATAGATCATACAGTTATCCTAAATTACTATATATTATCTGAATTTAAGCAGAATGTATAACTGCTTCTATCATAGAAAATGGTGAGTTAATGTTTGACTGCTCAAATCCAGAATTAATAAACCAGTATCATAGACATGAAACAACTTACGATGATCCCGGACTTGCTGTTGGTGGGGGACCTGGTGAAATGACACAATAAAAACAGCAGATATTAGTTATGAAGGGATAACTGACACACAGTTTTAGCAAACCTTTTTAAAGATGAAAGCAATGGTATATCACATGGAATGTGGTTTATTTATTTTAGCAGACAATTCTCAGTTTCCAAAAGCAGAAGACAAAACTGTATCATACACCAGAAGTTGTCTAACAAATTGTCACAGTTCAGGGAAACTGCACCTCTATTCCCGCTCTGTGGTCCCTCAAGAAAGCACACTCTAGGCTCCCGGATCCTCAGCCATGACTTCTCTTGGGCGAAAACCTGCATCTCTCTCCCTCCTGACCAGAGTTCCCTGTCTACACTGTTATAGCCCCAGCAAGCTAGACTGCCTGAACAGGCCAGCATCTCTGCTTTGCTGTCTCTCCAAAGGCTATGCATAGCTATAATTGCCAGCAATCACAAGTTACCACAAAGCTCTTTTAAAGAAAGCATATTTATTATTAAGGTGAAGCATTACAGAGAAAACACATTACAAACAATAAAAGAATATACATGCACACTAAAAAGCTTACAGAAGGTCACCCCAACTCCAGCCTTGGACTCTGGTTGGTGTCAGTCCTTCAAAATGCACAACTGGGTTTTCCCCAGAGTCACAGGTTCATAACTGTCTCAGAGTCAGAACCACCATGAATCGTTCAATCTTTCCTTAATACAGTTTTGGCATTTGATCTTAGCCTCATGTAATCACAGATAATCAGCAGATAATGGCCCCCTTTTCAGGGCATAGCTTCACCTCTCCCTAGACATTCCCCAGGAAATCCATTTAACACTTTTGTTCCAAAAGTCCATACTTGTGTAGCACACTGTTCAATACAGTCCTTTCAGTCCCCAGGTCTTATATCTCACCCTCACTACCATAAGAGGAGACGCAGACAGCTGCATGGAAGCAACTCCTGTCTGGGAGTGTGCGAGCCGCTTGAACACACGAGCATGACCAGGGACAGCTGTCAGTGAGTCTGGTGCCCATCTCAGTCTGCAGGACTAGGGACGGTAGAGCCATGCCAAAGGAGCTGCTGGTGTGGGGTGCTGGCTCCTGGGAGTGGTGGCCTGACATGCTGCTCCTTTCCCCGCTGCGGTTCCCTGTAGGGCCCTGCACCTCCGTGGACACAGATTTATATCCGCGGATACAAATGTGTATCCATGCAGGACTCTATGCACTTGCAACACCTAGAAACTATAACTGGATGAACACTGCATCATTTTTTCATGTGACTATTCTTTTGAATTTTTTAAAAAAATCTCTTTAGGTTTGATTCAAGTCCACTAAGTCAATGGATAGATTCCCATTGATTTCAACAGGCTTTGGATCAGGGCCTTTGACTGTTTTCACACCCCTTTTTGTGTTTGCTTCCTGCAAATATTCTAGCAATTGAGTTCACTGGTGGGAATGCTCACTGAATCAGCAAATTTTAATCAGTGTTGCGTAATATTTCAAATTGATATTATTAAGTATTTGCTCCAAAAATCTGATTATGAGATTTAGTCTGCTCCTGTCAGAAAACAGAAACATACCAGGTGTCTGTTATTACCAGAGTGCTCTGTAAAAGTGAGAATTCTATGTATTTGTCCAAACAAAATAGCCTGACTTTCAAATACTGCATCCTCAGAAGCAACTATTTGTGAATTATCTAAAAGCCAAGAATTATTCACAGACATTATTCAGTGAAAATTTTTGAACCCCCCCCCCCAGTAAATTTGAGGAAAATCTGGATAATTTATGAATTTTTTTAAAAATTAATCAAATAAGTTATTCATACATATTATTTGCCTAGTTCTTCAAATGAGTAATTGGGGCTCTGTGTAACGTTTTCAGCTAACAGGACTGTTGTGTCCAGAGTTGTTCACCTGGCAATTTTCATAAGCAATTGTTTAACAAGAAAGTTTGAAGAGAGAGAAATCTTACCAAATTTCACAAACAACACGCCGGTCGTGGAAACAGTCTTCCTGCCATTAGTAGCAACACACTGAAAGTAGCCAGTATCCGTAGTGTCAAGGTTTCTTATTCGTAATCGAGACCCATAGCTTGTTGCACGAAAAGATATCCTCCTGGGTTCTTGAACAACTGGGGCATCATTTTTCAACCAACGCACAGTTGGAGAAGGATTGCCGGAGACTTTACAATGCAGTTCTGCAGTTTGGCCGAGGGTGGTGGTTATGTTATTCATTGGCTCATCAAGCGTCAAGAAGTAATCTAATAAATACAGGGAAAGATGGTGGACAATGAATTCCAACTTACAGAACAATGTTTTAAAGAAATCTCATTTTTGCCTTATGTAGGCAGACGAGAGAACTGAGTGTAAACAAAATCAGACAATGACAAACTTCAGTATTTCTGAGTAGATCGGCCACGCTTTTCACAGCCAGCATTATATCCAGTATAACGTTGTGTAGTAGTAAAAGGAACAAGCTCAGGTGCCTTCACTAGGGACAATGTATCTTATTTAGAGAAGCACACTATACTTCTTGCAACCTTTCTTTTCTCCGCACAGATATGTAGTCAGAAAAATGGGCACTGTGAGCGCTCTCTCTCACCTTTCCCCAGTGTTATATTACTTCACTTCATTCAACATAACAAGCATTGAGTAATTTGTTCATTGCTCCTCATTGCACTTCTTGCCTCACTTCATAGCCTTACAATTATGGGGAGTTTTTCAAATAAGATCAGGACCACATTTTCAAGCGCTCAGCACCCACAACTGGAGCCAGATGTTCAAAGGTGCTCAGCACCCAACAGCTCCTAGTGTGACGCTTCTGGACAGATTTTCAAAAGAGCCCAGCGCTCAGTGTGCTGAACTCTTTTGAAAACTGACCACTTAGTTTGCTGATTAAGTGGATACTTAGCTCTTCTAAAAATCTGGCGCTTTATTCATTAGGATCTAAATATGAAATATGAAATTACCCTAAAAAAGAGCAATTTTAAAATGAGTTGCAGTATAGCATACATTTTAGAGAAAAAATGAGATTTAAACACATCTTCATTAATGTTTGCAAAGCACTTTATAAGTGTTATAATCTTTAAGTGTCCTAAGGAATAAAGGCCAAAATTCAAAATGGGAGAGATGGGGACATATTTTGGTATTTCAGGATATTATCTTGCAAAGACTGTTTAAAAGTCAGGTTTCACTCTGAAGTAGCTCACATGATAGGTGTAATTATAAGATGAAGAGTTCTTTAATTTTCTGGAGATGAGTAATGTTAAATAAAAATTTGGAGACGTTAATCTTTTCTAATCCATTTGTGAACATTGTCTTCTTCTGTTAAGCGGCTGTTTTATCCAGCATCTCTCAGTAAAAATACTACTTCTGGTTAACAGTATTCAAGGTTTAATTAAGTCCTTTCAAATCAGAGACCTAGATGGATTGGGGTATTAGTAATGGGATACACAGCCTTTCAACTCAATGTCACAGGTTCAAAGCCAACTTTGGGCACTAGTGCCCAAAAGGTATTACCATCTGTTGGCTGTCTCAGCAGCTAGGCCAAGGAATGAATGACACGTAAGATGTATACTTGGGAATAAACCTTTCAGGTCAAGATTGAACTTTTCTGGGTATCTATAGAATGGGCACCACATAAATAACGCATCAGAAATTTCCCCACCAGAATGCTTCAATCTCCTTGTTTGCACTCTAACCCCACTTAATTACAATAAAAAACCCCTTTGATTATCATGTATTAATCTCAGAATTAAAAACCAATGAAAAGGTTGGTAAAGCAGCATATACTGACTACTGGCAAAATGATCTACATGGTTTGTACAACTCCATTAAATACCATCTTTGTCTTTACAGGAATGATGAACACACGTGTCTTAATCTATTATTAATTACTATTATTATTATTTATTTCTATTGTGGTTGCTCAGTCTCATCACCTCAGTCTCCCTGCCCTCTATGCTGCCCTCCTCCCTTCCTTCACCTTTCCATTTAGCTAATACCTTCCTAACTAAACCACATCCAAAAACTGTGGTGCCAATATGACGTTTCAGTCCACATTGTTCACTCCGCTTATGTGTTCCACCTCTTCCCCCTACCCTTTGACTATTTAGGCTGTAAGTTCTTTTGGGTAGAGACTGCCACTGTTTGGACAGCACCTAGCACAATGGATCCCGACTCTTGGTTGGTCCCTAGGCATTATTAATTTTAATAATAAGGAAATCTCCGCACACTCATTGTGCCAATTAGGTGAACTTCTAATGGCTGACAAGAGCTATGCGAGACAACAGTGGATCTGTGTTGTCATGGATATGGTGATCCAAGAACTCCAGTGTAATGAATACAAAGGGGCAGTAATCCCTGTTCCAGCCCACAGGTAAGAGTAGGCACCAAGGTGGGTAACAGACGTGCTTCTCTGCAATTCTGACTCTGGGCTGGGAAGGAGGATTCAGTTCCCCGACTCCCAGTCAGTTCTCCGCACAAGCCTAATATCATATTTAATCATTTTGCATGCCTCTCTGCAGGACTAGAAATACTTTTGACTCACTATCTTACAAAACACAAAAGTGTAATCTACATCAGCTCACACATTCTTGGGTTCTCACTGCAGTCTGCTTTAATAAAATCACATTAATAGTATTAAACTTCTGAATAACCACATTTAATTATCCAATATAACATTTCTATACCATGCTAATCTATACAATTCTTCATTGTATTCAAAGGCAGCGATTCAGCTGCTTATTATACAATACAGTCAGAAAGTGGAATATTAATTTCCTTGTGATCATCTTGCTGACCACACCATAGACAACTAATACCATATACACAATGTTTCTTAAGAAGCAAGGCATGAGATGCCAGGAATGAAGTGAGTGTTGAGTAGATTTCAATAAGCTTGAGAATCAGAGTATAAAAACCAAGGTAGTAGTCATAATTGACAGTGATGTAGTACTGGTTATATGGAGGGTACAGAAAGGTTATCCTGAAGTTATAAATGGAAATGGAGCTTTAAAAAACGGTGATTTTGGTTTTGAGGAATGTCCAACCCGTTTCTAAGGATTTCTGTTTGTTTTAGTGCTTAGCTTCTTCCCTCCCAAGTATCACACTAACCGTAAAACACAGTTTTAGTAAAGTTTCTAGTAAAGTTTGAACCTTGGAAAGTTTCATGTGATTTGGCATTTCGTAATGACAGTTTTACATAGATTAAAGTAGTTTTATAAGTGAAAATAAAATAAAGGTCTGACAACACTTCCAAAAATCCCACACTGTAGTACCTACTTACTGAGAGAGGTATGGTAAGAAAGATCTTCCACTGGTATATGTCAAAGGTATTATACTATTGAATTTACCCAGATTGGGGAAGTATGAGCTGTGTTCCATTTTCTTTTATTAATCATTATTAAGGATTAGGTCTATCAATTAATCGCAGTTAACTCAAGCAATTAACTCAAAACAATTTAACTCTATTAAAAAAATTAATCGTGATTAATCAAAGTTTTAATCGCACTGTTAAACTATAGTACAATACCAATTTAAATTTATCATCAATATTTTTGGATGTTTTTCTACATTTTCAAATATATTGATTTCAATTACAACAAAGAATACAAAGTATACAGTGCTCGCTTTATATTATTTTTATTACAAATATTTGCATTGTAAAAAAGATAAAAGAAATAGTATTTTTCAATTCTTCTCATACATGTACTGTAGTGCAATCTCTATCAAGGAAGTGCAATTTACAAATGTAGATTCTTTTGTTATATTACTGCATTTAAAACTTTAGAGCCAACAAGTCCACTCAGTCCTACTTCTTGTTCAATCAATCGTTAAGACAAAGAAGTTTGTTTACAATTACGGGAGATACTGCTGCTGCTTCTTACTTAGAATGTCACCTGAAAGTGAGAGCAGGTGTTCCCATGGCACTTTTGTATTTACGTGCCAGATATACTAAACATTTTTATGCCCCTTCATGCTTTGGCCACCATTCAAGAGGACATGCTTCTATGCTGATGATGCTTGTGAAAAAAATAAGGCGTTAATTAAATTTGTGACTGAACTCCTTGGGGAAGAATTGTATGTCCCCTGCTCCATGGTTTTACCCGAATGCTGCCATATATTTTGTGTCTCGGATGATGACACAGCATATGTTCTTAAATCAAATAACACTGTAGATTTGACAAAACACAAAGAAGATATCACTGCAATATTTCTAAAGATAGCTACAGCACTTGACCCAAAGCTTAAGAATCTGAAGTGCCTTCCAAAATCTAAGAGGGACGAGGTGTGGAGCACACTTTCAGAAGTCTTAAAAGAGCAACACTCCAATGCAGAAACTACAGAACCCGAACCAAAAAGGGAAAATCAATCTTCTACTGGTGGCATCTGACTCTGATGATGCAAATGAACGTGCGTCAGTCCACACTGCTTTGGATCATTATCGAGCAGAACCCGTCATCAGCATGGAAGCATGTCCTCTGGAATTCGGGTTGAAGCATGAAGGGGCATACAAATGTTTAACATATCTGGCACATAAATACTAATACCCACTACAACAGTGGCATGCGAACGTCTATTCTCACTTTCAGGGGACATTGTAAATAAGAAGCAGGCAGCATTATCTCCAGTAAATGTAAACAAAATTGTTTGTCTTAGCGATTAGCTGAACAAGTAGTAGGATTGAGTGGACTTGTTGGCTCTAGAGTTTTACACTGTTTTATTTCTGAGTGCAGTTATTTAAAAAAAATTACATTTGTAAATTGCACTTTCACAATGAAGAGATTGCACCACAGTACTGGTATGAAGTAAATTGAAAAATACAATTTCTTTTATCTTTTTTACAGTGCAAATATTTGTAATAAAAATAATAATATAAAGTAATCACTGTACACTTTGTATTCTGTGCTGAAATTGAAATCAATATTTGAAAATGTAGAAAACATCCACAAATATTTAAATAAATGGTATTCTATTATTATTTAACAGTGCAATTAAATCACAATTTTTTTTAATCTCACAATTAATTTTTTCAATTGTTTAATAGCCCTAATAAGGAGACTTGTGACTCATAGCATCTATTCTAGACTACTGACTCCCTCCCTACTCCACCCCACAACATTGCTGCATCTATCCCACTCTTTCAATGAGCACTGATCAACTAATATACATAGCTCAATTCCTCTCTTGAATTCAGGCATCTCCCAAACCATCTAGTCTCCCTCTGATCCCCTTTGCACCTCCATCAAAGCCCTACCTA